TATCTATTTTTCTCCAGAATTCTTATTTGCAATTCAGTGCAATGCAATTTGCAATGAAGGTTTCAACACATGCCCTTATTTACAGAGGTTGTGAAGCAGTAAGAACTTATATCTCTGGCTCAAACCTTTGGGGACACAGCCTGAATCTTCTGTCAGTCTCTATTCCCAAGAATGTCACAGATCTAAATAACAATAACAGTAAACATTTTTTAAAGCACATACTTTGTGAGAGGCACTGTACTAGATGAGGATTCAAAAATAGGGGGGAAGGTATCATAGATCCCTTGCCTTCAAGAAGGCAGTAGGGGGAATACAACATGCACACAAATAAATGTGATACAAGCTAGAAAGTGAATGGGGCAAAGGGAAAATTCTCTTAAGGTATTCTCAGAATGCTCTCTAAAAATTTTAGGAAAGAGACATCATTTTCAAATGAGACACAGGTTGGGGCCATTTATCAAGGACTGTCTTATGGAAGAAGTGTCTTCTGAGCTAGACATTAAAGGAAGAGAAGATGGATTTGTGGAGGTGATGGGCAGGGAAGGTGCTTTCTCTAGTTATGGAGGGGGTGGTCTACATAAAAACATGGAGGAGGAAGATTGCACTTTCCACTGGAGAATCAGGGAAGAGGAATATATTAGGTGAGATTGGGGAGCCAGAGGCAGAAAAGTACACGATGAGATCAGGAAACAGTTTGTTTCAAAGGTATTATGCGTGAAGGGAGTAATAAGGCTGGATAGGTAATGAGGAGGCCTTGTATAGGGCCTTGGATGCCAGGCTACAAATTTTGTATTCAGGGGGCTACTAAAAGTTTTTGAACAGGAGAGTGACAGACTGTCATTAATATAATTTTTGTAACTGTTTGACATGGGTTGGGAAGGGAAGAGACAAGAAGCAAGAAAAGCAGTTAGAGGGCTATATACAATCATTCAGGTAGAGTATGTCCCAGTGGTAGGCTCATAAATGTTTAATAACCATATCTCCAAAACACAAAGATGAATGAATGGCAAACTTTTAATTTTAATGTTCATTATTAACATTTTTCCATCACTTAAGTGTAGACAATCAAAACAATAAATCAAAATTTGATTTGTAGTACTTGCTGATTTCTGCGGTGTGAATGCTCACACTGATAATTTAAAAACCAGCTTTCAAGAGCCCATATAAGCTGCCTACAGCACGCCCCTAATTGTGACTTGTAGATTATTGTTAGTGGTATGATCAGAGAGGAGAAAATGAATCTAAGCAATAATGGAGGCAGAATTAACAGGTGTTGGTTATCTATAAGGGAAGGGTCAAGAATGAATTTTTGAGCCTGGATTAATGTGTATTAATCACACACAACACACACACACACACACACACACACACACACACACAATGTTAGGGAGATAAGAACATTTTAGAGGTTAGTTGGTGAGTGAAATTTTAGATATATTGACTTTGAGGTGCTGGTGAGACAGAGGTAGAAGTACAACTGCCAGTAAGAAATGCGGAACTGTATAGGTCAGGGAAAGGATTGGATGTACAGATTTGGAAGTTGCATAAAGGTGATCATTCAATTCAGATCTTCAAGGGAAACAAAATACTAAGAGAAGACAAGGGCTTAAAATAGATCCTTGGGTGGGAATCCACGTGTAACAGATGGAATGGGCCAATAGAGAATGTGTAGAAACAAGGGGAGAAAAACCAGAAGAGAATACAGAATTAAGGAACAATGAAGTACTAAGAAAGAGGAGGCAGTCAAATTTGATAAGAGCCAGGAAGGAGGATTGAAAATAGGCCATTGGATTTGATATGCAAGGGCCAACTCTATAATCCTATGATTCTTGTCACTTGACAAGTCAAACTTTCTACTATCAAAATGTCAGAGAAGTGGAAATTCTCCCTATAATATAGAAGCAAGTAATGGGTATCCAGAGATATCCAGAGAAAGAATGTTGGCCAGCTCCAAGGCCTTAAATTGGTCAAGGAGAGAATCATTCTCCTTTCTCCTCACTGGTATATTCCTTGAATTTTTTCTTTTTTCCCCTGCAGGTACACTCTTTTGTCATGTATATATTCCAACTCCTGATGGACGACAGTATAAGTTGCTAAGATGTGGCTAACCTGTAGAGGGAGAATCCATTGTTAGATCTTAAAGCCATATCAGCTATAATATTTACTAAGCACTTATGATATTCAAAGCATTGTGCTAGACCTAGGGATACAAAGATACCATTCCAGCCCTTCTCCAAAGGTAGGGGTGCCAAGTTTACAAGGAGAATAAGATAAGTGCTATTAGAAATTTGAGGAGGCTGAAATCATATTCACCAGAGGTAGTCAAGATAGGCTTGTGAAGGATGTAGTACATGAGTTGTACCTTGAAAGAAAAGAGAAGGGATATTGGAAGTGAAAGGACATTATTCCAACTATGAGGGAATGCTGTAAGCAAAGAAACAATAGCCACAGAGGTCAGGACAAGATTGGTGGTAGAGTAGTGATGATATTATAGGATTCTGAGCCAGAAGGAATTTTGGAAGGCAGCAAGTGGAAACCCTTCATCTTTCAGAGAAGGAAATTAACTAAGGCACAAAAATGGTTGTAACTTTTCCAAGGTCATATAGTAGATTTGAATTCAGGCCCCCTGACTTTAAATACAGTTTTTTCTTTCTTCTTCCTCTCCTTTCTTTCTTCCTTCCTTCCTTCCTTCCTTCCTTCCTTCCTTCCTTCCTTCCTTCCTTCCTTCCTTCCTTCCTTCCTTCCTTCCTTCCTTCCTTCCTTCCTTCCTTCCTTCCTTCCTGCCGTATTTACTGAGAAGATATATCAAGGACACTTTCCCCTGCACCATCTTGGTCCCTTGGGACTTCTTTGTATCATAACATATTGCTTCCCTAGTCCAATTGTACGAATCAAGAGGATATGTGAAGGGTTTAGATTAAATGAAAAAGATTAGGATTAGATCAAGCTGGAAAGGGCAATGGGTGCTGAATATATTGAGGGGCCTTTAGAGTCAAGATCAGGAGTTTATATTGTTTGGTAGGCAAGGAGGAGCCACTAAAGAATTTCGAGTAGAGTTGTGACATGATCGTTACAGAGCATTAGGAAGATCACTTCAGGAGTATCTCAGAGGATGACTTTGAGAGCAGATAAACAGGAAGTAGAGACACCAATTAAGAGGCTATTAATAGTATAGACTTGAAGGGATGAAGGTTCAAACTAGGGTGAGTGCAGTGGAAATGAAGAAGAGGAGCTGGATAAGAGATATAAAGTTTATAGTGACATAATTAGCTGGGTTGGACCTTAAGGTGAGTCCAAAAATGAGTAGATAACCTTCCCCAGGGCCTGGGACCCAGATTCTGGGAAGTATTAGTCTAGGTGGATAAGTGATAGTGGGCAGATGGCAAGCCCCTTTGGGTATATGGCTGGATGAAATGTGAAGCTTCCCCTCCCTGCTCAGAAACTATTAAGTGTTTACTTTTCTATATTCTCAGTATCCCCAGTGAAGGTCATCATCTACTTTCTCCTATCTCAGTGATTTCAGGTTCTTTGGGGGAAAGGAATAATATCTCCCCGTAATTGCAGTGTTAGGTACCCCTTTCCTTCAGGTAAAAAAAAAAAAGCACATTACATGTATGGTTGTAGACAGCCATCATTTCTGAAAACTTTTAGAAGAACTTGAAATTTTGCTTCTTTCCTAAGCAAAATTCTAAGCTACTCCATTCATTCAGATGAGCCCAAATGTCCACTTCTAGAATTTGACTGAGGATTGAAGGGATTCCAGATCCCTTGGTACTGTGGTGAGGTGAGGGAATAGGAAGAGGAGAGGGAGGAGGACAGTTATTGCTTAGGGCTTTTTAATTAATCCATTGTAAGTTACTTCCCCATTAAACCAGCTGTAGAGGCAGAGAAGAGTAGGGGAAGGAGAAGGAATCCAATTCATAAACACAGTTCTAATTCAGCATCCTTCACTCTAAAAGCCAGGAAAGTGAGAGGTTAGGTTCTTGGCAATCTCCATAGTTATTACAAAAGTAAATGATCCCCAGTGGAATGTGATCTGTCTTAAGATGATTTGCCTGTGGGGACAATACAATGGGCTTGCTGATACCATACTTAATATTTATTGTTTGAATACACTCCATACTATACTTAGCACACACTACCAAACTCTCCAGAGGGTAAGCCCTCACCATCTGGGAACTTAAATTCCTAAGGAGACATATTAGATGATAGAATTGGCTTGTGCCAATTAAATCCTATTTCATTTTGAACTAGGAAAAACAATGCCAAGTTAAAGCGTTATGTGACCCTCATTCGTCCCTCTGTCTTAGCTCTGCAGACTGTTATTCTGCTGCCATCTACTGTCTGCAGTAGGAAAAGCCCAAAATTTTGCTTCAGCTGTGGGTACTGGCAGCTTTACTGATTTTTACAAAGAATAATGCCTTTCCTTTCCTACCAACCCTCCTAAAGAAAAAAGAAAAAGTTCTGATGGTGTCCAGTGATGTAACCATTCTAAAAACCTGTGTCTTCCAGTCTGCCATCATGTGTTAGAATACTGTCATTCGAAATGTGATCAAGCTACCAAGTGATCTTCTATGGCATCCCCCAACCCCCAGTATCACTGAAAGGCTCTGTTGTTCCATCCATTCAATGAAGAAACCTCCTGCTTAATTTGCCAAGAGTTTTCTTAGTCATGTTCTCTGGCCCATTACAGAAAGATTATTGTTGGATGTTAGGACCTCCTCCTCCCTTCCGCCAAACTCATTCCTTCCCTTTTTATCATGGAAGAAGAATATAGCACACCTTAATTATGTTTCTAGAAAGCTTTGCAGTTGTATTTTTGCAGAGTTTAGTGGGAGCAGACATATTTCCCCCACGTCTCACCGAAGATGTCTGTGGATGTCATTCCGAACTACAGCAGTTTGTGTGTTGAGAAATTTAAGATCGTGATGACTCATTTTAAGTGAAGGAAAACAATTCTGAATTGTGTGGTGTGTTTTTTTGTTGTTGTTGTTTTGCAGTTGTTTGTTGGACTGGGGTTTCCATATGAGGGTCCAGCTCCCCTTGAGGCTATCGCTAATGGATGTGCATTCCTGAATGTCAAATTTAACCCACCAAAAAGCAGCAAAAACACGGACTTTTTTATAGGCAAACCAACCCTGAGAGAGGTAAGCATCTAACCAAAGGCTCTAGCCTAGTACTTTAATGAATATTATCCTTACCTTCTGATTATGGCGGGCTTCTCTAGGCAGGGAATGAGAAGTAAATGAAATCGACTAGCAAATATTTCTTGACCACATGCTATGTGCAAGGCATCAAGTTAGGCGTGTTAAACTGTACAAAGAAAAATGAAGCACATTTCTTGCCTTCAAGAAGGAAGAAGTCTGGCAGGTTGATGACATATTTGAGAAATGACTATTAAGTGATGTGACTGATATTTTTTAACAAGTCAATTATAAATGAATGTTCTCCCCTTCAAAATGGTATCATTGGTAGGCCATATTCCAATGATTCTACCAGTGCTCAGAAACATTTTTAGAACTATTCCTTTGAGAGCAGAGAGAGAGATCTTATTAGTCAGAGGGCTTTCTGGTACGGGCGGCAACTGACCTGGACCTTCCACAAATAAAAGTAAAGTCTTATTGATGCTTTTTGATTTTATATCACAGTTCTGTCTGGTTATATTCCTCCCCTCTATGAACCTTTTCATGATAATAAATTATAAAAAAGCAGTTCGAGACAAAACTAACCAATGAATTGCTGCATCTGAGAGTATGTAAAACATCCCATACCCATAGGTCTCTACATCTCTACTGAAAAGGTTTGCAAATGGACATTCTAGTTAATGCTGAGTTTCTTTGGTTCATTTATTGTCTTATATATTGTTCTCATTATGTTCATTGTTTCCCTTTTTTCTGCTTACTTCACTCTGCATTCGTTGACACGAATCTTCTGTGTTTCTCTGAACCCCTTAGATTCATAATTACAGCACAATCATAGTTCCATTACATTCATGTACCGTGATTTGTTTAGCCATTCCTCAATATCAACGTTTTGTTTCCAGCATTTTGTTTTCACGAAAAAATTGCACATGGTTTTTTGATATCCTTAATGGTATATCACAGTCAAGCAGGATAGCTTTGAAAGTTCCATATTGAATTTATTATATGCTTAAAAAGAAAATCAATAGATCCCTAGCCACTCTTGTGAGGTCTAGGTCTAGCCTTGCATCTCCAACTGCCTATTAAGCCTCTTGAACTAATTGTCCCTTAGACATCTCAGACTCAACCTATTAAGTAACCTCCACATAATAGATATTCATGGTTTCATGCACAATTCTCTCCCCTTCTACAATGCATACTTGGAGATGCCCATATTACATGGAAGGAAACAAATATTTATTAAGCATTTTACAAATATTGTTTCATTTGAACCTCACAACAATCCTGGGACATAGGTGTTGTTATTTCCATTTTATAGTTGAGGAAATTGAGGCAGATAGTTAAGTGACTTGCCTAGGGTCACACAGTTAAGACACAGTAAGTGTCTTAATTAGCTGAGATGGAACTTGGATATTCCTGACTTCAGGCCCAGTGCTCCATTTACTGTATCACATAGCTAAGTTGTTTAAGTTCAGAATTTTAAAAATAAAAAATAAATATATCCTTTATGGTAGCATATTTATCCTTGACAGTGGACTTCTGGAAGTGGCTGAAAGTATTTTGGAGCCAAGCCTAGTGAATTAATTAAGTGTGTGATCAAGCTGGTTAGTGGTGATTTAAGTAAGCAATAAGGGTGATCTCCTGGTGTGGCTCATAAACTGTCCCTGAAGTAAGTCTAGGAAAGAAATTCCTGATTGAAGCAAATACCAATACCATGTATGTTGGTTTAAAAATAAATCCCAGTCCTTAATGGTCATAAGTCATACATAGGAAAAACGTGGCTTTGAAAATAACTCATTAGGGGCAGCTAGGTGGCACAGTGGATTCAGGAAGACCTGAGTTCAAATCTGACCTCAGACACATAACACTTATTAGTTGTGTGACCCTGGGCAAGGCACTTAACCCCATTGCCCAGCCAAAAAAAATAAAATAACTCATTAGCTCACGTTTATGTAGTGTGTTAACATTTAAAAAGCACTTTTTTCATAAGAATCCTGTAAGGTAGGTATGTGGTACAAGGATTACTATTATTATCTTTTTGCAGATGAGGAATTGATTCTGAAATATTATAAATAACTCAGAAAGGTCGCATGGTAGAGATGTAACTCAGGTCATTTGACCCAAAAGTGGTCTATTCATTATATTCCACACTGCTCCTATAGGGCTGGGGAACAGCAGAGGAGAATCAATCCTAAGAATACTAGAAAAGCACAAAGGGGCAAGGCTCTGAAGGGCTTTAAAAGTCAGAGGATTTTATATTTGATGCTGGAGGTAATAGAGGATCACTGGTGTTTGTCGAGTTAGGGAGTAGCATGGTTAGTGCTGTCCTGTAAAAAGATTACTTTGATATATGAGTAGAGGATGGACTGGGAGAGAGATTTGAGGAAAGGAGACCAACCCGCAGGCCATTGCAATAGGCCAGCTGAGAGAGAATAAAGGCCTACATCAGGGTGATGATATTGTCAGAGGGAAAAAAAAAGGTGGGGGACATCTATAAGAAATGTTACAAAGGTAGAACAAGACTTAGCAGTAGATTGGAAAAGTAATCTATGAGATAATAGTCTAGGATGACACTGAGGTTGGGAGCCTAGATGAGGGGGAGGATGGCCCTGCCCTTGATAGTAATAGGGAAATTCAGAAGAGGGGAGGAAAGATAATGAATTCTGATTTGGACAGTTTAAGATACCTAAGGGATAGCAGTTCCAAGAGTTCAGGAGCTGAATATATAGATCCTGGAATAATCTACATAGAGATGATAACTGAACCCTTAAGAGTGGATGAAATCACTAAGTGAGATAATATAGGGGAGAAGAGAAGAGAACCTAAGATATGACATGGGGGGAATTCCCATGGCTAGTGTATGCAATAGCAGGTCTTGATAAATGCTTGTTCCCTTTCCTGTTCTTATTCTTTTGAGTAAAGTTAGGCTAGTAGCCTGGAAATTTTTCATACTTTTCTCCTCTTCTGTGGGTTTCTGACCTCCAGAGAATGATACAGATTAATTATGTGTTGAGATGAAACTCTATCATTCACTTATTAGACAAACACTTAGTGGGTTTGTTAGTTGATCTTTGATCATGGAGAACTGTGACAGTATCGAAAGACAAATATCCTACTTTTCAGATAAGGGAAGTTTACAAATGATCAGATAATGAGCTTGACTTCAATTCTTGGACAAAAAATGGTGAGATATGGATTATGTGATAGGACAGTCAGGTTGATTTGGAAGTGGCTGAATATTTGGAACAAAAAAGTGGTCAAGAATGTGCTCCATGTATTTGACCCTATGTTGTTTCATTTTTTTTTTCAGTGAGTTTGATAGAGGCACGTATAGTATGTTTACACAATTTTGGTGGGAAGGATAGCTCATACACTGGATTAAAGAGACAGTATCCAAATAGATCTAAAATGGCCAGAATATTGAACTAATTCTAAAAAGATGAAATTGAATAAGCATAAAAGAAGAAGGAAAGAGAATAAACACTTATTTAACACCCACTAAATGCCAGGCACTTGGCTAAGAGCTTTTTAAATATTATCTCGTTTAATCCTTGCAGCAACCCTGGAAGGTAGGCACTAATTATTATACCCATTTTACAGTTGAGGAAATTCAGACAGAGTTTAAGTGACTTGCCTAGTGTTACATGAGTAGTGAAGTGTCTGGTGCTGGATTTGAACTCGAGTCTTCCTGCATAATATCTAACATTTAGGCTACCCTGAGAGGCACCATATCCATGACTAGGGAGGGTATAATTCCACTGTATTGTGCCTTGATCAGACCACATCTGGAGTGTATTTTCAGTCTGGATGCCACATTTTAGGAAAGATTTTGATAAGCTGAGTAACATCAAGAGAAGGGCAGCTAGAATGGTAAAGGGCCTCAAGTTTATGTTGTATACACATCACCTGAAGGAGTTGGGGATATTTATCCTATAAAGAGAAACCACAGCAAGAACTATGATAGCTACCTTTATGAAGTGCTGGCATCTGAAAAAAGAGGTTAGATTTGTTCTGTTGGCACCAAAAGGCAGGAAAAACTCATCCTAATAATAAAGCTTCATAAAAGGGGAATTGGCTGCCTGGGGAAGTAAAAGGTCAACACTGGGTGACCTTTTCTCAGATGTGATGCAGAAGTGTTTCATGTTGAGGTAGAGGTCGGACAACATCAGTCAATAAACATTAGGCACCTACTATGTGCCAGGCATTGTGCTGCACTCTGAGATCCTTCCCAACTCTGAAGATCTGTGATTCTGTGAGTTCTGTCCATGTTCTCGGCCTTGAGGATACAAAAAATTATAAGATATGGTCTCAGTCATCATGGAATTTACAGTCTAGTAAGATACATAAGACTTGTATGTGATAAGTATGTGGGGAATTAGAATGGTACTTATGGTTTCAATTGTTTAGAGAACTTCCCAGATGAAAAAACACCATCTACCTCTGCAACTAAGTGACTTGCCCGAGGTTACCAGCCAGTATCAGAGGCAGTTAGAAAGATAAGTACAAAACAAGTGGTAAGCCATTTGAGAAGCTACAAATAAAGGACCATGGGGACTCTGAGGAGGAAAAGATCACTCAGCCTTGAGAAAATGAAAAGAAGTTTTCCTCTCTTCCTTGTGACTTCAAATACTTACGTGCTTATTAGAATGGTACAGAACATCGTACTGGGCATTGAGAGAGACAAATTAAGTAATCCATGGGATATTTTTTTCCTTCACAGAGCTTTTTTTCAGTCTAGTTAGAGGACTTTGAAAGTGACCAGAAGCATATCTTCTGCCACTGTTCATAGGATAGGAACAAAATGATCATTACAGGATGAAGCAAAATCATTCTAGTGTTGGCAGAGTGACTAGGAACTAGATGGACTTAGTCAGGTAAGACTTCTTGGAGGAGGTAAATCCTGAGCAAATTTTAGAAAGACGAGAGGGACACAGATAGTTAGAACTGTGGCAGGCAGTAGACATCTGGCCTCGTATTTTCTTTTTTGTTTTTGCTTAGGCAATAGGGGTTAAGTGACTTGCCCAGGGTCCCACAACTAGTAAGTGTCAAGTGTCTAAGGTCGCATTTGAACTGAGGTCCTCCTGACTCCAAGGCTGGAGCTCTATCTACTGCACCACCTAGCTGCCCCAGGCCAAGTATTAATAAAGGCTTGGTGGTAGGGGCCAGTATCTTATGTTTTTTCCCTTGGCTTGAATACGGATGGTGCAAGCCTTTGGTAAAGTAGGAAATGAAGAATGGAGGACATGGCAGAGATAAGGGAATGCAACCAACATTTATGCATTTTTTTTAAGCATCATGTAAACAAAACAGGTTCTGCCTAGAAGAATAATAACCTTGAATATAAAGACAAGCCGTCTAGACAAATAAACCTGTTGTGAAGCATCTTTATGGGCCAAAAAAGGGTTCATAGTGAGAAATAGTCTAACTTAGTCTCCTGGCCAAATTAAGTTGTTAATACCTAGGGGACACAACAACTATATATTTCCTAGGTCCCTTGCAGTACTATCCCATTGCCAGTGCTCACTAACTAGAAAAGCATCATATTAGCATAATTCTTATTCTCCAGACCAGACCAAAAACTTGTGGGGTATCTTCCCGGTGTATTTGTTTTCTTTTTTTCCTCTACTTTTTACCATTACTTATCTTTTAATAATATTAAAACCTTGCCTTTTTTTTTTATTATTTCAAGGCTTCCTTCTATGCCTACTTGAGTGTCTAAGCTGCTGTTTAATAGACACTGGCTGATATAGGTGATGTTCAATGATGGATGGTGTGGCAGGCTATTTTATTTTTATCTTTTTTGGGGAAGACAGGGGTGCCATTATATCTTCCATTTCACCCTGGGGAAGTGACATAGCATTTCCTGTTTCCAAATGGGATTCATCATTTGTTGTTGGCCTTGAAATCATCCCTGTTTTATTGTTATGTGGGTGTTTAGAAGGCTTAAAACCAGTTGGGGGGTGGGTGTGAGAGGTGGAGAGGGGGGAGACTTAAAACCAGTTGGGGGGGTGTGAGGGGTGGAGAGGGGGGAGACTTAAAACCAGTTGGGGGGGTGGAAGAGGAGAAGAAGGTGGGATGTGAATGGAGTTTGCTTTGTTCTCTTGTTTGTTTGTAATACTCAGAGTATTCTTTTACTTGCACCAGGACAGCTCAGTACCATAAAAGGCACAAAAAACAGTGTCTGGCACAGAAAGGGAAATATCTGGTGCATGATGATAATGTGTTTTATTTTGTTTCTTTTTCAGCTGACTTCTCAGCATCCTTATGCTGAAGTGTTCATTGGACAACCCCATGTCTGGACTGTGAACCCAGCTGATCATCATGAAGTAGAGAATGCAGTGAAAGCAATTTTAAATCAAAAGGTTAAAAAAAAAAAACCACTCCTTTTCTCCATGTGTAGTATGAACCAGAAAGTGTTGTGGGTGCTGATGTGGATGTCACCCTAAATGCTTTATTCTCCTAAGTCAAACTTTACCATTGCAACTTACCACTAAAGATAAAAAGATGGGTCTAACGAGGTAGGTAACCTTCAGCCTCAAGGCCACATGTGGCCCTCTAGGTACTCAAGTGTGGCCCTTTGACTCAATCCAAAGTTCGCATAACAAATCCCCTTAATAAAAAAAAGAATTTGTTCCATAAAACTTGGACTCAATCAAAAGGCCACACCCAGGAATCTAAAAGGCCATATGTGGCTTGGAGGCTGCAGGTTCCACACCCCTGTCACTCCAACCTATAGGATTTGATGTGGGAGTTTCCCACATTTTCTCTGAAATTAAAAAGAGTAGGCCACAATTTCACTTGATTTTTATTCCATTAGAAAGCTCTGAAGGCAACAGATAGGAGAAGATGGGCCTGGAACCACTGCATGTGCCTATGATAAAGAGATGAGAAAAAGTAATTAAGGAAATGCTTGAAAATGGTTTTTTTTTAACAGTATCTCATTCATACCTTGGTGCCATTCAAATTGTAAATTGTATAGCACTATATAAAGTAACTATTAGTTACTGTGCTAAATTAATATGCATAAGATAAGGTTTCCCTGTTAGGCCTAATTAGAAGACTGGAATTCCAATTAAGTGGAAATAATTTTTTTTTTCGTATTTAGGAAGTAACACTGTGTACATCTTTTGGCTTTCTCCAAACTGTGTTATGCCAATTAAGAGGGTCTCTGTTACAGGGCCAAGAACCTGAAGTATTTCACTATGGAGCATTCGTTAACCTTCCTTTATCAGCCTTCTGTTTCAATGCTCAGGTCATCGAATTAGTTAAGCAGCCAGGTGGCAAAGTGGATAAAATGCTGGGCCTGAAGTCAAAAGACTCCTCTTCCTGGGTTCAAATCTGGCCTCAGACACTTTCTAGTGGTATGACCCTGAGCAAGTCATTTAGTCCTGTTTGCCTGAGTTCCTCATCTGTAAAAAGAGCCAGAGAAGGAAATGGCAAAGCACCCCCGTATCTTTAACAAGAAAATCCCAAATGGGGTCACAAAGAGTTGGGCATGACTGAAACAACTGAATAATAACCACAAATTATCCCACAAGGAGAACTACATTAGTAGTTGAGCAATAAGTTCAATTGCCCTTGCCCACTATTGCCAGGGAGTTAACAGTAGGTAGAATTGGAGCCAAAGTAGCACTTGAGGCCCTCTTTTTCCCAAAATATTTTCCCTCTACCTCTCATCATATTTCCCCATTTAAGAACTGATTCTATCGATTATGGAAGTTTTTTTTGGTCTTAAAGAGCCCCCCTATTAAATGTGATTATACCTGCTCGGGAGCTGATAATGTAGTGAAGTGCTACCAGACCTAGGCCAATCCCTCATCATGAAATGCAGATAACCAGGGCTCTAGGAGGCTGTAGAATCAGAGTGTAAGCTTGAGCAGGCCTTAAAATTCTGGAAAGGATTCAAGTGAGACTCAGAAACAGGCTTTGTTTACTTTCCAAGGATCAGTCTCCTCATTTCAGCTCAGTACAGCTAAGTTCATCCTTAGGTTTGTCAGAGGATAATAAACTTTTTCAGTTACATCAACTCTTAGAGACCATGTACTAAGTTATAGAGGGATTAAAATCTACTTTGGTAGAGGAATTACCCACACTGATGCAATCACACAACACTGACATATTGAAAAAGTTATCAACTAATGAGAGAAAGGGCATGATATAGTGGGTAGAGAACTGGGCTTAAAACCACAAGGACTTGGGTTCAAGTATTATCTCTGACACATCCAGCTACGTGACGTTGGGCACAGTATTTAATCTCTCTGAGTAACTTTCTGACCAGAAGTTGCCGAGAACATGCTTATCTGCAGTGATGGAGGGGATTTCCTCACCTAGAGTTCCCTCTACAGTGAAATCAGAGGGCCAGTCCATATCAACTAATGCCATTGGGAAATAGCTGTCCACTCACTGGAAAGTAGGACTTTGTATTTCCAAAGAGATTCCTACAGCAGAGAGCAGTGGATAGAGGCGCTGGGGAAAATTCTACGAGATTGAGTAGATTCTTGAAAAAGACTATGTTAACCTGTCAGAGAGGGATGCTGAGAGGTGGGGGAAAGACTTTTGTATTTGTCTGAGTTGCTCAAACAAGGCCTGGTTACTAGTCTGTTACAGGTGATATAGCTGTATATCTTTTTCTCCAGAAAGACAGATCTCTTTTAGAGTATCATCATTGGCTTACCTAGATCCCTCTCCAAAGGAATGTACTTCATATGTTCAACGATTTCAGGAATAAATGACACTTTTTTTTCCCTTTTGCTTGATAGAAAAATGGCTACAGTTAAAGACATTTAATACGTCACAATGGCCAGAAAGCAGTTCGTGCGCTCTCATCACATTTGCTAGACTAGGGCTAGAACAGAACAAGAATATTTAGCTTGTCGAAATAATCCTTTGGAGTTAATAAACTCCCATTTCACTGCTGTGTGCCTATTGTGATACAATGGAGAAAAGGCTTCTGTGTTTTAGAGCTTGTTTTAGGCCCATAACTAAATTTGCTGGCCACATCAAAGGTCTCTTTTATCATTTGTCTAGCCATAAAAAAGATATTGCCCACAGCAAAGTGTGCTAAAACCTGTGAGTGAATGAATGAGTCCTCTATTACAGAGACTTTTTTTTTTGTCCTTTGTATGAACCTTTTGGTAGAAATCTGTTGGAATGTGAAAAGTATAAGTGGCTGACAGTGAAATGTAAATACAAATTCTTTAAAAGAAAATAAGATGTAATAATTAATGTGAAGGACGATCTCTGATGTGTAGAGGACATTCTAAAAGACATGTAGAAATAATAGAATATCTTCAAAGTACTTTGAACTTTTCAGAGATACGTACTCTAGAAATAGGAGCTCTGCTACAGAAATCCTTGGTTTGATCCCACGGTACTTAGATACAATTCCTATATTCACACTACTTTCTCAAACCACTACCCTGACATGCAGATTAGTGTTAGTGATAAATATTACATAAAAAATGCTGTATTTGGTCAACAAACACTGTACTATGAATTATGGTTATAACTTAAGAACATTTCATGGGCAGCATAATGTGCTAATGCAAGACCATGAAAAGTAACGAAACTCGAGTTTGACCTAGTTTTATTGCAGCATTGTTGATAGGCGAAGAGTTACCAATGTAAGGTTGGTCCAATTTTCTGCCTTACAGAATGGATGTCAGGGTATGATGTAAAAGATACAAGGCATGAAAATTTGTCCTTCTGTCCTGCGTATGTAAGGCTTATTTGGGCATCTGGAGTAGGAACATCAGAGTTAGATTCCCTGATTGATCAATTCTGCACTCAGTTTTTATTAAGGTTCTGAAATGGACAAAAATTATGAATGTTCTTTAGAACATCATGACTATAATGTCAAAAGCAACAATTGATAGACATAGTCAAACCTGAGCCTACTTCCCATTCAGTGGAAAAGTCAATGAGTAGTGTCCTCTCCCTACATAGAAGTAACATTTCCTATTTCGACAGATTGAACCTTACATGCCATATGAGTTCACATGTGAAGGGATGCTGCAAAGGATGAATGCATTTATTGAGAAACAAGTAAGTCTTTTTAGAAACATCTCTTCCCTGTTAGTTGTACTATTTCCTATAATCTTAATTACAGGATTTTCAAGAAGAGCAAAGAAATCACGCTAGTGATTCTCTTGCAGCTCTAATGACCAGAGAAAATGGATGGATGGTTTATTGAAGGTAAAGTGAGTTTTCTAGTAACTATCCAAACAGGTGTTTTTTCCTATATTATGAGGGTTTGTTTGTGTTTTTGTTGTTGTTTTTTTTTTAATGTCTCTAGAAGATTACTCCTAGGGATAGGGACTGGGGCTGTACCTGTACCTGTACCTGTCATTTCACTGGGAGAGGGAAATCCTACATGAGGAAATTCTCTCTACCAGTGGAAGTCAGTGCCTTCTCTGCTAAGACTCCTAGTCTTAGAGTTGGGATTCTTAATCATTTTTTGTGGGGCATGGACCCCTTTGGCAGTCTGGTAAAGTCTGTAGACCCCTTCTCAGAATCAAATTTTTAATTGAATAAAATAAAAGCTATAAGATTACAAAGGAAACCAGTTACACTGAAATACAGTTATCAAAATGTTTATTTTTTTTAAATGAGTTAACAAATCCCGGATTAAGATCTCCTGTCTTAAAGTATTGCCTGTCTTAAAAAGGTTAAATGAAAAGGGGAAAATCAGAATAGGGAGATTTAAGAAAATAACAAACTTTTTTTTGTTGTTTATAAAAGTGGTTATAGTACTGGATTTGGAGACAAGAAGATCTGAGTTCAAATCTTGTATCAAATACTTACTAGCTGCATTTCCCTGAGCAAGACATTTAACTTCCCTCAACCTCAGTTACCTTATCTGTAAAATGGAGGGAGTATTAATAACACCTACTGCTCAGGGTTGTTGTGAGGAGAAAATGAGATGATATTTATAAAGTGCTTTTTAAATCTTAGACATTTAACATCATCATCATTATCATATAGGACACTAGAATGTAGTTTGAGGGAAGATTAGACAACATGAGAACTGGATAGTTGAGTATTTTCCAGGCTAAAAGACAAAGGGGACAGGAGTCTCAGGGACAGGAGTCTGATCCAGATTGTCTTTCAAAAATCACTCTCAGACTTAATGTTCCATGTGATTCTGTTAAAGACTAAGAAGGTTAGAACCTGTCAGTCAGCCAACAAGTGTTCTTTAAGCACGTAACAGAAAGATGAGGGTTGAGGCAAGACAGTAACATATCCTTTGGGTTCTGCCTAATATAAATGGGGTTAAGTGAACATGGATTTGTTTACCAAATTCCAGAATTATGGCACTATTGTGTTGTCCTTGAAACTTGACTGAGAATGGATTTTTTTAAGGCAAATAAAAGGAAGTTCTATCTTATGTAACAGATAGTAAACTTGAGGAATTTTTACCTGAAAATATGGTGCAAGTGGAACATGGAATTTGCATTCAAAAAGGGTTTAGATAATGTTCTGAATGGGTTCTAAAATGGATTTAGATCTAGATCTAGCACAGATTACTAAAGAAAAGTGAGGGTGTCCTGGGACATATCCTTAACTTTATGATTTTTGATTTTAATATAAAAGAGAACAACCATACCTTCCTATCAGCCATTGGCAAAGGCTGAATAATCACAACTCATTTATATAGCACTTTAAGGCAATGCAGAAATGAGAAAACTGAGACTGAGAAATTATATGACTTGCCTATGATCACACAGCTCATAAATATCTGAAACAGGATTTGAACTAAGGTATCCAACAATATTTCCACCATCCCAATGCCTTTTCCCAAACACTGTTCATTTGTAGTTGTATGGAGCATTGGACTGACTTGGGATAATATTTCTGATATTCTTATTTTTTTTACATTAGTGACAGTGCTAAAACCAGAAGAAACCTTGAGATATCTTTCGAGTAGTTATTGACTCTTGACTCCTGAAGCTGAGGGACTAGAAGGAAACTACCCTCCCAACTGTTCCGTGGTAGAGATGTTAATGAACCATAATGCCCCAAGTGAAGCAACAGGAGGGAAAGGGAAAAGAACAAAAACTCTAGTTTACACATGAGATAATCAGTCCTTGAATAACCAAAAGTAGGCCAGGGTACATTAGAGCTTCAATTGGAAGTTGTCCTGGTACTAGCAAAAAAAAAAAAGTCATAATTCCTTAAAACTGTAAAGAGGGATGAAGATGGAGACAGACAGAAACATGCAGACTCATGAACCCCTTGGAAAGCTTCATACCCTGAGAAGGTGACTGGAAGATAAAGGGCTCATGTAACCTTGAGCTACAAAATCCCAGTGCAGTTTTAATTAAATTGAGCTACAATGTTGGAAGCTGTGTGCTGCATGGCATATGTTTTACTATTAGTTCTACTTTGCTCCAAGACATATTTCAAGGTTGCCTATCACTGCTCCCCTGGTCCAGAACAAATTGTAATTAACAACACTGGTCAGGCATGAGAATGCAGATGGGCAGGATAGACCAAATGCAACCCAAACCTAATCAACCCAGGTGAATGACCAGTGGGGAAGAAGTTTTGTAATTAGGAACATTATGAAGCCACTCTTTTTTTCTCTCTTACTGTACTTGATTTAAATTGAATCCTGTTTTAAAATCAGGTCTCTTTCTCAGGAACTAGGGGAGGTAGTGCAATGGTGAAAATCCCTCTAATCTAAGATCAAGAGTTCTGTTACTTTTGAAGCTGAATTATTATACTTCTAATCAATGTTTTAATATTCCCTCTATTAGGAAGAAAAAACAGGCATTTCTTTAAAGTCAAATAGTGTGGCAGGCCTTCGTAATGGACTAATTAATAATAAAGATTTATTTGATTAATACATTTAGGATTCTTTGTTATCCTCAACTTATAGTGAATATCTTTAAAGTAAATTTTTGTGGTCATTACCAGCATTAATTAACAGTGAATTGTTTGAGTAAATATTCAAATAAAATGCTATTTAATAGCATCTTAGTGGCTTGAAAGAGTTAACATAGTGACCAAAGTTGCCAACCTTACAATTGGCCTAAATAGGAAAGGATTTTCATTGAGAGACATCTATGAGCAATATACTAGTATAGGTATGAGAACAAGCCTGTTAAATGAATATGGCCCTTTTCTTGTTGTTTGGTGGGTGGAGAAGGAAAGAGAAAGGTTTGGGTAATGTCAAAGATTTAACAAATCATTGGACTTTATCAACCTAATGGTTTCAGACTTGTAGGAATAACATTGATGATGATGATGATGATGATACACATTTATATAGCTTTTTAACATTTAAAAAGCACTGTCCACCAAAAAAATCTTATGAGTATTATTAACCCTATTTCACCAAAGAATAAACTAAGGGGCTGAGGGTGAAGTGATATGCCTCTGGTCACCTACCTAGCACATGTCAGATGAAATGACTTTCAGGTGTATACCTTGGCTCAGTTGGTTACGGTGAGGTGCTGATACAAAACTATAGGTTTAATCCCCACAGCAATCATTTGTCAGCACTAATCCTCCAACATCGATGGTTATCCAAACGCTGACTTGTCATCTCAGTGCACCATTGATGACAAAGGAGAATTGGCAAGAGAATATAGATGAAACAATACAAACCCTTCCCACTGCTGAAAAACAATTGAGAGGCCTATGACTTATTGACAGTTGTCAACAGTGTCACAGCATACTGTGAATTGTGTATAAATTGCTAATTCAAATTTATTTTGTAACTCTTGTTACTGTGAAATTTGCATTATTGTTAGGTTTGCTTAGCTGCTCACATAGGTCATTTGCTCTGGAATGTTGCTTCTCCTGTCACCTATTAAATAGTTCATTGATTAATAAATACCTCTCATCAAAATCACTGAATAGAACTCAAGAGATGAGAAAGTTCACTCTTGGTATAAATTGAGTAACTAGCTGAAGTGGCATTAGGCAGGAACTTAGCATTACATGTTCCAAACAGACTCTTTAGCTGTACTGCATAGGTTCATAGACCATTAGTATTGGTAAAGAGCTTGGAGATGACCTTCTCCAATCTTCTCATTTTCTAGATATGGAACCTGGAGGTCTAGAAAAGTCAGAGTCTGATATGAAAACTTCTTCAGAATGGGACCTGGAACTGCAGTTAAATAGGACACCTTACTTTAAAAAAAAAAGCTATTACATGAATACACTAGAAGCTATTACATGAAGCCCTAGAATAACAAAGGCGTTGATTCTGTATCTTATATCACAAGGACATTTTAGTTTTTACTCCTTTTCATCTGGTGATAAGTGATATTGGGTAGGTGATAGTTCCACTTTACAGTGATAAAACCAGAATATGATGAAAAGCACACAATCATCTGCAGCCAGTTCTTGAACCCAGATCTGCTGAACTTCAGCCTCAGGCTCTTGCCATTGCCTCATTCCTGGAATGTGAAAATGAAACCTTCACTTTTAATAGTCTTTGTCCAAGGAAGCTTGTGCTTCACAAGTAAAGTAGGCTTTCATTTGTATGGTCGCTATTTATTAGCAGGCCTTCTGATTGGCTGGGGGAATCATTCAAAAGCAGGTGCCCCCATTTTACCTTTTCCGATCAAACTTGAAGAAAGATAGATGATGCCATGGGGATGATTAACAAATCTTATAGTGTGCCTTAAAAGTGGGGGGAGGGAGGCATGGACAGAGAGGACAGAATTCAATTTAACTGTTCCATTTTATTGAGCAACTGATCCTTGATTCAAGGAGTGATCCTTGATTCATTAACATTAATTAGGTGGAGAGATGCCCATCAATTGAGGAGTCACTGAACAAATTATGGTATAAGGCTGTAACAGTCTGCTGCTGTACCATAAGAAATGACAAAAGGGATAGTTTGAGAAAAATTTGGGAAGATTAGAATGAACTGATGCAGAATGAAATGAACAAAAATAAGAGAACAATTTATACTATAAGAGCACTGTAAAAAACTAACAACTTTGAAAGATTTAAAAACTTGTATCAACACAATGATCAACCATGATTCCAGAGGACTGATGATGAAACATGCTACCCACCTCATGGAAATTTGTTCTATTTGATTATGAATATTTATTATAAGGATTTTTTATTTTTAATTTTTGCAGGGTAGAGGGAGGTAGGAGTAAGAGAAAATAAATGCCTGTTAATTTTTTTTTAATTAAAAAAAGGAACACTAGGTAGATCATCTTGCAGTTTAAGTCTAGGGCCATTTCCTTCTGTTCTGGAATCAGGAGGTGGTAACAGCCTCTCATACTTGAAAGAGATACAAGATTCCTAAGAGTGTGCTTGCTATGGTTGCTCTATAAAGATTAGTTACAAAGCCTGTGTTAGTATATCCCTAGGAAGTAGCACATGAAGTGTTAACTCTTCTCTCCATTCCCTTTCCTGAACAAAAGCAGAAACTTTCTCCCCACCCTCACTTTCATGTTTTCTCTCCTTCCACACCTACAGTGTAGGTTATAGATGAGGGGCCATAGGAACTGAGATATGTCTGCCCTCATCCCCAAAGAAGCAAAGAGGTGCTATTCTCTCCTACATTCTCTCTTCACCTGTGATGTTTAAAGAGATAAACTCCAAGATATATCTGCAAGACTGAGTACTTACACTTATCAGTTTTCACTCAGGATGGCCTGTGAGGTGCAGTCCTAATCTCCTTCATGCAGAGTAAGAGGCTAACAAATAAAAAAGAAAGATGTGGTCTTGCCTTTGCTTTCAAAGGTAGATAACATGGTTCTTTACTGGAATCTGTCATGGCATTTGGTTAGTTATTGGGTTTTAAGTACCTTCATTGTAATGAATAAATCTATTGAAGTTACTAAATCATCCACTTTTAGAGGAGTGCAGAACAGATAGGTGGTACAGAAGGTAGTTTGCTGGGCCTGGAGTCAGAAGGATCTAAGCCCAAATCTGGCCTCAGACACTTATTAGCTGTATGACCCTGGGTAAGTCATTTAACCCTGTTTGCATCAATTTCCTCATCTGTACAATGAGCTGGAGAAGGAAATGGCAAGCCACTAGAGTATCTTTGCAAAGGAAACCCCAAATAGGGTCACAAAGAGTCTACTGAACAACATTCAGAGTCATTTCATTATCCGAATAACCTTTGTTGAGCAATTTGCCCTTTCTAGATTGCAGTCTTCTTGAAGGGATTGTCTCATCTACGTTTTTTTGTGTTTCCTTCAGTACAAATAGACATTTAATAAATGCTTATTGATTGATTGATTTCTTCCATCTTTCCCTCAGCCAACATTTATTAAACTCTAACTGTGTAAGTCACTATTCTAGGTGCTCTAAGAGAGCTACAGAGGTAAGTAACATGCAGTCTCTGCCTTGATATAGCCTTCATTCTAATAGGGGAGATGACATGTATGCATATAAAATAAAATAGAATAGTGTTAAATGCAGAAGACAAGTACCGAGAGTTCTAAGTAGGGAACAATCGTTTCTGACGAGACCGATAGCTCTAGATCCCAGAAAAGGTGACATTTGAGCTTAACTCATTGCTTAATTGTTGTTATAGGATTTCTGTCATGGGCAAGTTATGTGGCCACCACTTAGTGCTCTGCAGGTGAAACTCTCTGAACCTGGGAAATCATGCAAACAAGTCTGCCAAGAAAACCAACTCATCTGTGAGCCATCTTTCTTCCAACACCTTAACAAGGACAAGGATGTCAGAAGTAAGTGCTGAGCAGAGGAGCTAAGCTCTGCCTATTGGTGGGAATGATGTGCAAGCTGCCTGTGCCCACCAGTTTGGTTACTTATCCTTTGAACAAATATCTCCTTTCATGTCCTGGTTCGGTTTAGAGCCGTGAGTACCTTCTGATTCCTAGCTCTGTATCTGTTGAGCAAAGGAGAGTGGGAGGAGGGAACTGTATGATTTCTACCACCACTCCCAAAATAGCTGCTTTTTATTATTATCTGTGATGAAGTCATATACCATTGTTATGGAGCGTTGTGACAGTCTTTGCTTTGTGATTGGTTTTATTTACCATGCTAGAGGTCAAGATCACGGGCATTGTTTTCAGTTTGTTTTTGAATCTGAAGTATAAGAGCCAATATAGATGAGGATTCATGCAAAACAGGAGATGAGGCTTTTGCCAGCAGTCAGCTTCCAAATAACTATCAGAACAGAATAGAGCAAATGACAAGGAGATGTTACTGACCAAAAAGTTTAGGGAACTCAGACTTTAAGGAAGGAAAAGAGGAGTCCAGAAAATTTCCCATGTTCATCTCTGGCTTCTTTTCACACGCCCACCTCCCTTGCACATATCTTTACTCTACTGTTGCAGTTTCTGCTAAATTGATGTGTTTCTAGGTGTTAGCCAAGGTTTGTATTTCCCCTAGCTCAAGCACATATAGTACTCTGTACTCAGTAGGCACCTAATCAATATTTACTGAGTGAATGAATGTCACACTTGGAACTTCTAGTGGAGTTGCTTCTACTCTGTGATTCATTCCTCCCTCCAATATCAAAACTCTGTCTCCAGGATCTAACTTATTTCACCCTGAGATGTAAGGATTGCTTAGTCAGGAACACTTTTTACCCTTATTATCATTAATAAGACTTCCTCTCTGCTAGAAAAATTTCCTATAAATAATAAAACATTATCACAATTATAGATCTCCAGTCCACAGTGTCTGTTGTCACACAGCCCTTAAGAGGAAATTTAAATAATCAAGTAAAGACTCTCATTATCTGTTTTTCATGCTGTCTTAAACCAATTCTCTGTCATTTGTCCCGCAAATCTCATGATACTCCAGTGTTGGAATACTTTTTTCTCGTTTCGTTTTTTCAAGTAAGGACTGGAAGCATCTTCACCTCTAGGAAAGTTCTTTTGAGCAGAGGTTTGGGTGATGCTGTTTTTTCCTTTCTTTGCATATTGGAGCCAAGACTAAAAAGCTATTTTCTGTTTTGACCAAAAACAAAAAACAAACCAGGAATCAGAAGAAATTGGTTCAATAGCATAGCCCTGTTCTTATATATGTTGAGAGTTGGTTTGATATTCTCTAGGGCCTCTGCTGGGGGTTAGGGTACATTAAGCAATGATAATGTAATAATGAGGATGTCAGACACCACTTCTGTCACTATAAAGTCCCTGAAATGACCAACCTTTGACACCTTTTCAGTGTGTCTCTTGAGTCAAATTAAATCATATAAAGGATTTTCTTCATCCACGTACATTTACTGAATACTTGATTGGGTGGGACCATGTACTAGGCACTATACAAATCATGATAGAAGCCAGGCACTGTTTCGTCCCTCTCAGAGCTTACAGTCTAAGTAAATGTTGACACAGGAAGACAGGCAGGCAGGCACATATTGTACAAACAGTAAACTAAAGATACTCAACAAACATATGTATAAATTATTAATTTTCTCCTTTACTTAGAGTTAAATTCCCCATATGTTTGTTAAGCATCTACTGGATACAGAACACTGCATCCGTTGCTAAAGGGAATACAAAGATAAATGAGAAGCTCCTAAACTCAACGAGCTAATAGGGAGCTCAAATATGTAACTAGCTATAATACAAAGTCTAATGATGTAAATGTATAGATGTACACAATTGTTGGTAATCCAGAGAAGAGAGAAAACCAGAGGGGGAGATTAGAGAACTTCACGGAAGAGCTAAGGCCTTGAGGCACAGAATTTCAGTAATTACAGATGTACAAAGAGGGAATAGACATAAGGAACAGCATAAGCAAAAACAGAGAAGTGGTCAAACTTAAGATGTCTAAGGAGGAGTGACTCTTCCATTTTGGCCAGAGTATAGGATATATGAAAGGGGGAAGGGTAAGACCATTAGATTCTAAGTTCCTCCATTAGATTGAAAGCATCTTGAGGGCAGGGACTGTCTTTTGCCTTTTTTGTTTTTATATCCCCGGAGCTTAGCACAGAGCTTGGCACATTGTAGGCACTTATTAAATGTTTACTGATTGATTGATGTCAAACTGGATAGGTAGTTTGGGGCCAGATGACAGAGAGGCTTAAGAGTTTGGAATTTTTCTAGTATGCAGATGAAAGGAACTGAACCTTTTTAAGCAAAGTATCATGATCCACAACTATGTAGCAGGAAGATGAGCTTGGCAGAAATCAGTCACCAAGTATGTATTAAGCCCCTATTAATGTACATGTCAGGCATTGTACATGGTGCTGTATACAAGTATAAAGAATAAAGTGATCCCTCCTTGCAATGAATTTGCATTATCATGGAAAGACAACAAGTATATATAAAGAGTGCAAATATAAAGTTAATAAATATAAATACATACAAAGCAGGTAAATATGAGATAATTTAGGCAAGGAACATGTGTAAGATGAGTAGAAGAGGTGAGTGACTGGTCCCTCCCAGTTGGAAATCTAGTGCATTAGTCCAGGTGATGAAGATCTGAATTTAAATGATTGTTTGTAGTGGGAGTGGAAGGGGGAGGTCTCCAGAAGAAGCAGCTGAGTGAAAAAAACAACAGGACTTGACAGTTTATTGAAATGTCACACATAAAAAAAAGAAGCAGAAGTCCCAAATTGTTTCCATGTTTCAAATATAAGTTCACGGTAGTACTTTGAAAGTAGATCTCCTGGCTCCTAATGCAGTGGTGTTTCCACTATGCCCATGTTACCTTCTTTCCTTGATCTATTCCTATATAACACGTGGAAAACATGTATTAGAGGCTGCCAGCTATGATCTGGGTGTGTTTTCAGTTGGTTCATATGCCAGTAAAACTGGAAGAAAATATCCTCCTCCCTCTTGTTCTCTCTTCCTCCTCTCTCCCCCTCCCTTTTCCCCCCCTCTTCCTCTCTTTTTGCCTCTCTCCCCCCTTCCTCTTTCTCACGAACTCCCTGTCCCATCTCCCTCCCTCCAAGCTTTGTAACCCCATTCTACTCTGTTTCTTCTCATGACGCAGACTGTAGGGACATCCACCTTTCAGTGCCGCCAGTCCCACAAGGGGAAACACCTCAAAAATTCCTATCTCCTCAGTTAACTGTACTCATTTTCCCACTTTCTTGCCTTTTCATCTTATCCACAAGTGTGTCTACCTGAAGATAGCAAACCCCTTTTATCCATTCCTCTAATTCTTCTAAGTCAGCAAACAGGAAAGCAAGACAAAGGGACAGAAAGATCCCAGCATAGCAATATTTGTCTTATTCTCCTAGAGGGTCCATTATTATTGAAATTCAGGGACCAGTAGCCATGTTTGTAACCAGCAGACTCTGTGATGTGAGGGATCTGGTGGCAGGCGAGCCAGCTGGTCTGGGACGATGTGGATGGGGCCAACAAACCCCCAGCCCTGCTTCTGTGTTTGTTAAAAGACTGAAAAGAATGCTAATGTTTGTAATAAAGCTGTTTTAAATTAATTCTCTGTCCAAATGAGCCCTTTTTGAATAACTTATTCATGCATTGGTAAATGCTGATAGTGTTGTCCTACCAAGTTATCTACAGATTATTTTGAGGACTTCCTCTGAATATAGGTAATCCCGACACATCCATATTCATAGGCAATTATTTCTTCTAAACTAGCTCCTTTCTTTTTTTCTTCTCTGAATTGGTTCCTGGCACCTTTGGCACCCCAGGTATTCCTTACGTTCTTTCTTGGTTCAGACACAAGCCATTTTCAAATTTTTAGCATCTCCTTTTCCTCAGGGACAGCCTAACCCCTTCATTGTGGGCCACTGTACAATAAAATATAATAACAAGATCATTGATTTAGAACTGGAAGAGACCTAAGAGGCCATTTAGTCCAATCTCTTCATTTTACAGATGAAGAAACTGAGGTCCAGGGTAGATATGTGACTTGTCCACATTCACGTAGATGTTAAGTGTCAGAAGCAGGATTTTAACTCATATCCTCAAACTCCAAACCCATTAGCATAGGTTTTTTTTTCAGTGCAGCCTGCTGCCTCTGAATACGTAGTGATTAATGAATTCAATAATCTCAATGCTACTATCTATCCTCTAATGACAATCCCCTCACTACTTTCCATGAGTACAGGCACCATCGGTGTTTCAGTCTTTCAGCAGTACTTATTATTCATGTATTCTGTGTAAAACACTTTTCTAGGCACTTCAGGGGAATAAAGTATTAAGTCAGAACCTCTGATCATGATAAATTTAGACTTTCTCTGGTATGGGGGAGCACATTTTAATATTTCTCAATGGTGCCTTACCCATGCAGATCCTTATATAGGTACTTAATTCTTTCTTCCAAAGGATTCAGTGTGGGAGATGAGAGTATCCTGAGTAAGTCTTACTACAGGTCAGTAAACAAGTTTTTTCTCTTTTAGGAATATAAAAACTGATAGGATATATAGGCATAGAGAAATGACCCATGGAATGAAGGCCTATTTTTTTTTCCCCAAAGTGGTGAGGCTTCCTGGATTAAAGGTTAAGAGAAGTAGAAATGTCATTTAAGGTATGAACAGACATTATGTTGACCACCTGTCAATGGGCACCTTTGAAGACTCAACTTCTAAGTCTTTGGAGCCTCAGCTTTATTTTTAAGTCTTTCTGTTAAAATGACAGGGAACCATTACTAGCTTAGTTACTGCTAGCCTAGCTTTATTTTAGCACTTTCAACTATTCCTCTTCTTCATGCTTCACTTAACCATGGATGACCCACCGAGCTAGTCTTAGGCTTAATGACCGAGATGAAGTCCAGTTGGTTCTGCCATAAAGCATGC